CCGTTTTCTGAAGATGATAAAACCGTTGAGAAATCAGGGCTTATAGATATGTTAATATCAATCTGAGATTTATATGCAAAAATATAATTATCATTGTAACCTTCGACCCTCTTCGAATCAAAACTTTTGGAGGGTCGCCTTGAAATTAGAACGAAAGTCCATTTAATAATCCAATCTAGTATAATAAAAAGGTTTTCCGCTTTTTAACAATTTCTTCTTGAAATATTTTACAAGAACGGATTTCTCAAGACTTACATTCAGGCAAGAAATCCCAAACTAATTTGAAACTAAGAAAGAACTGTTGGAATTATTCAAATGATCTTTTTACAGGCATTCTCCTCCCTCACATAAACTTTTACTTAAGTGTTTCTTTATCAAGATATTTTATAAAGAAATCATTAAAAACGTTTAAAGAATATATTGTATCGTATATATCTACAAATTTTTCCATGCTTATAAAATATCATAAATAGATTTATTATTAAAAAGACGAGTAAAAAAATTATATGAATGGAGCAGGATGAAATATGAAATTTTCTAAATCGATCATTTGAAAAAAAGAATACATCTTTGCCACAAACTCTGATTTTCTAATATCTTTATTTCTGCAGCCCATATGTCAAATTATTTATTTAATAATATATGTTCTAATCAAATAAATCAAGAAGAAATTGTTAAAAAAAGTTGAACAACTTTTTAGTGGTTGATCATCCCTAATAATATAGGGATAAAAAGTTTCTTGATGTCGATTCTATCATTTTCATATTCTAATACCCAACCAGGGTAGTCGAGAACGATATTAGTGTACAAACATAGAAACGGATTTTAACAGACTAACTCCCACACACATATTCTTACAGACAGTAGACCCGCCCCCCATCCACTCCCACGTATTCTCCTACATGTGATGATGTGTACGCTCGACTTAAATATCTAATTGAACACTCAAGAGAGATGAATTTGCAAAATTGATTTTTTGTATTTGTTTCTTCACATTTCGTCAATTTATCAGAGCATTTTAAATCTTAGATTTCAAAAACAGTGCCATCCACACAAAGGATGAAAAATTATAGACGACGATTTAGACATTTATGTTTATAATTTCCTACCTTGTCTTTGCTGCAAAAACCGTCTATAGTCAATAATTTAAGGAAACTATAAGATTTCAGTTTATATTAATCATCTGTGCTCAGTATAAGATTTAAAGAATGGCGGATTATTGGTAACTAATAATTTTGGTAGCTAACATTTTAGTAACTAACATTTTGTTAACTAACAATTTGGTAACTAATATTTTGGTAACTAACAATTTGGTAACTGGACAATTTGGTAACCAACAATTTGGTAACCAATATTTGGTAACCAATATTTGGTAACCAATAATTTGGTAACCTGACAATTTGGTAACTTGACAATATGGTAAAATGACAATTTGGTAACCTGACAATTTGGTAACTTGAAAATTTGGTAACTTGACAATTTTTTAATTAACAATTTCCAAATGCCAGGGTTTGGAGTGTGATTAAAGCCTTCCCGAAAGAGGAGTCTATTGCTAGAGTTACGTATGCAGAATATCTGAGAGATATCCACCAGTCCCACAACAGCTCCAGAAACAAAACCCAGCTTGAGCAAATGAGACAGCTCCAAAAAAAATTGCTCCAAATGGGATGAATAAACTGTAGAGGATTACCTGGATGCAGTTAATGCGCTAAGGAATTGAAATTTTGCCACAAACTCTGATTTTCTAATTTCAATATCAACCCAATGTTGTAGATCTTTAATATTTCAAACTATGAATGCTAATAGATCAAATAGTGTAAGTTTGAAATATCAAAGGTTTTCATCATAAGGTTGCAAAGGTATAGGTTTTACAAAAACTGAATTTGTGGCAAAGACTCGATTCCTTTAAGTTTCCTCATAAGCATGTAGTTTAAATGTAATTATATGTAAAAGAAGTAAATGATATATGAAAGTTTAATAAACCTGGTGAATCATAAATCTTTAAATAATCCTGCTTATTTCATTTTAGAATTTTATTGTAAACCAAATTGTCAAGTTACCAAATTGTCAAGTTACCAAATTGTCAGGTTACCAAATTGTCAAGTTACCAAATTGTCAGGTTACCAAATTGTCAGGTTACCAAATTGTCAAGTTACCAAATTGTCAAGTTACCAAATTGTCAGGTTACCAAATTGTCAAGTTACCAAATTGTCAAGTTACAAAATTGTTAGGTTACCAAATTGTCAAGTTACCAAATTGTCAAGTTACCAAATTGTCAAATTACCAAATTGTTAGGTTAACATTTAACATCTTTAAAAATTTTTCAATTTAACAAATCCTAGAAAATTTTAGAATGATTAAATGACTTCATTCAGAGGCATCATTTTTAAAGATAAACTGTTTAAAGGAAAATGTGCGCAAAGTCTCGTAAAAGACATGAGAAATCAAGGATGAGTGGTGCTTATTAAGCTTAAATGTGTAATATTAAAGATCCGATCTAGAAAAATGTCGTAACTAAAACTTATTTTCAGTTTTATATTTACTATGAATTGTAAAAAGGCTTCAAAATTAGAGCTTTTAAAGAAAGTTCCGGATTTTCCATATTGTTTAATTTTCACGCTCCTTTGTACTATACTATACAAAAGTATTCTGCATTGATTCCGCCTGGAACTGGAATTAACTCACGAATTTTTTATTTCAGAATTTTCAAAATTTTCCGCAATTACATAAACATTGTATTTATAAATATATTTCACTTACTCTTTCAGGGAAAAATTAAAATGGACCCCTGAAAGATTTAAAAGAAATTTTTAAGTCATATTAAAAAATACATATTTTTGAAAACCTTATTTTTTTCTTCATTTTCATTATTTAGGAGGGGTTTTCTTTCCTTAAAACTTAAAAATGATGAAGATAAAGCAGAAAAACTTCAAAAACGTACAATTTTAAATTTAATGGCTTTACATATACGAGAGAGGCCTTTTGATTTAAATTTTATGTTATTGCGTGGAAAGAATGGAAAAAACTGAATTCAATTTACGCAATATACATGCATTTTATAATGTAAATTTTTTTGTGAACAGCTAAAGAGGGGGGGGGAAGGCCAGCAACAAAAATTTCTCGTCCGAGCCTCATTCTCTTAATTTTCTCCTCCAAGCCATCCTCAAAATCTTTGTCCTTCCAGTATTATGTTTCAAAAGTGTCCAATCCATAAAGCTAAATCTATTTTTAAAAAATCTGGCATTGTTAGGCATAAAATATGGTTAGTCTAAAGTATTGCAATGATTACAAAATGTCAGAATTTTGGAATCCATAAGAATGATTGTAGTAAATGCCCTACTCCAACAAAGTTTTTAAGATCAGTGTCAATCCAGGTACAACTTAATCTAGAACTCCAGGTTCTATCTGGATATGACTCAGTCTGTATTCTTCAGATATCTATCAATCAATCCTTCTCGTTAATACATGAGGCATAGAACTATTTCGTTCTGTAGTATGGCACCATTTCAAGAATCTTTTTGTATTCTCAGGTATCTATGTTTCAAAATACAACTCATGCTGACTCTCAGCTATAATACTCAATCTTTATCAATCCAGATAAGACGCTATTGTATTCTTCAGGTATCTATGTCTCAAGATACAACTCAATCTCTTTCATTAATACACGAGGCATAGAACTATTCCATTCTGTAATACGGTACCTTTTGTATTTTCAGGTATCTATGATTCAAAATACAACAATCTGTAATTCCCAATCTATACTATCTCTCAAGAAAGTGATTCAGGATGCTTCTTGTTTTCTAAACAAGAAACAATTACTCTCACACCGTAATCAAAGTGGAGTCTATTCCAACTGACATTGATTTTAATTTCTATGTTACAGGTTAAGTTAATGAACGTAATTACAAGTTTTACAACGTTATATACAAGCGTAGTTAAGCTAATCACAATACAGGTTTGACGTAGTTATTCATAGACATAGCTAGGTTAGGTTAATTGCAATACAAGTTTTGTGAAGCTATTTTCAAGTGCATTTAGATTTACAGACAATGTATAACGTAATATATCTAGGTGTGCTCAGATTTACAAATATAGGGTTTGCTACGATATTTGTTACATGATGTCAAACTTTATCTAGGTGAAAATTAAATCTCTTCTTCTACATTACGTAAGAAAAGAGATTTAATGTTCACCTAGATAAAGATAAAGCCAACCTTTACAATAAGAAATAAATAGCAAAATATGTGTTATACTGCATGCCTTTTTTTATCCCATGGAACTACCCGGAAATAATAAAAAATATTAAGTTTTATGAAATCATGAACAATTCTTGGCATTATTAATTAAAGTGCGCGTAAAAAGTGAAACATTTTGGAGTACATAATTTGTAAACTTTAATTCAATTCGAGCTATTTTTCCATTTTCAAAAATTCAATATTTCATCTCTTGTCCAAACGTGGCCAGACTGCTTAACCCTATTCCTGCTGGGGGGGGGGGACCCCCCCCCAGCGTATCCTGGTTTTCAAGTACCCCAGCAGGGATAGGGTTAAAAATAGTATCATCTTGGAGGGTTAGACACTTGAAAATAATATTGTAAGGACGAGGGTTTTGAGGTGGCTCGGACGAGATATTGTTGTGGCTGGCCTTCCTCTCCTCGGCTAAGGGTGAAACTATTTCTTCGAGAATGTCAAATGTTAAACTGTAAAAAGTAAAAGTAAAAAAATCTACTTATTTTATATTTTTGACTAACTTTTTTCTATTTGTCTCTCGTTTAAGAACACAGGAAGAATAAATTGACATAATCCACCTGTTGAATTAATTCTCTATGAGGGGTTTAAGGATTAAACTATAAAAGGAATGAAGAACGAAGCTTCACACTAGAAGCACTTTATCAACTGAAGAGGTACTTAGTTTCTTATCTAAAATATTACTGAAATATTTTGAAACTTTTTAAATGTTTTTTTTCAGATAATCAAGGACCAATTATTTAAAAAACTAAATTAAACAACTTCGATATGCCAAACAACGCAGACACAAGAGAAGTATTTGAAACTCGTCTACTTATTGCTATTTATTAAATCTGGGTCCGGGATTTATAAAACATGTTAAAACTCGAGTTTTTTTATTTTTATTTAGTCACCATGGGATTAGGTAAAACATTTATTATGACGCTTAGTGTCTGAATTTAATACATTTAAGCCACGTCTCAAATCACCCAAAAACCGGTTTTAATTGACCGTCGGTTTAAAAAATTTAATACAAATTTAAGTTTAGCCAACCATATTTGAGCCGCGGCTTAAATTTAAACCGCGGATCAAATTCTTTAAATTTGGCCTTAGAATAGATTATTAAATTATGATTACAAAAAAAATCTTAAATTATGAAATCCACAGATAAAGGGACTGTATACGAAATTGGGATTGGACCCTCTATTTAAAGATTAAAAGCAGGGACTGTCCGATTCCTAATAGAACTCTTTAAATCAGGGTCCGAGCAAAATTAGGGAAGGTATCGTAGTTTTATCCTAGCTGAATTCTGAAAATCACAATCATGTTTCTCGTAAAATCCGCAATTCAATTTGATAAAAAAAATCACAATTAGAAATTACCAATTTTAAAATGTCATTTTATTATACGTTCGCTTAAAGGGACAGACTAGCTAGACATGGTAGTTAAACTGAAAGTGCAGTATTCTTATAGAGAAAGACTTTAGTATTGATTTGATAGCAATTAAGCATTTTAAAGGTGTACAATTGTTAAATAAAAGCGTACAGTTGTTTGTAATATTTCACCTGTTGTTTCAGTCAGCAGAAGAAACATTTTTACAAAGCATGAAAAAAAAAGAAATTTTTTAGACAAATTTGCTGTTTAGGAACTTATTCCTTAAACGAAATTATCGATGAAAACCGTAGAAGGTAGAACCGTAGTATCGAATATTTCATGATCATCTTAGCTGTTTCTATAATTTTATTCGCAGATTTTTAAAAAATGTCGTCTTCACAACTAAAATAAAAGAAACCTTCATGTCTAGCCTGTCTCTCCCTTGAATGAAGAAAAATATAATTTTCTAATATTTCAGATGCCGGGATTTATTTCTTTGGTAGTATTAAGTCTACTGAGTCAGGTATAATCATATTAACATCCTATGAAAGGAAAGAAGAAATTGCAGGCAATATCTAAAAAACACTTCTTTATTAATCTTTATTTGTTTTGCAATTAAAAATTCAAAAAATTTCAATTTTTTATTAAAATGAACAAATTTGTAATTTTTAAATTTTTGAAAAAATATGGATTGAATTACATCCTGCATTTTATGAAAAATTTCTTTCTTTCTTAGCTTCATTATTTTTTATGTTTTTTTTTCCACCAAAAGATTACTAGCACAAAAACACTTCACCTTCTATACCAATCCAAATAGATAGATAATTCTAAGTTTTTAAATGCAACCCTTCACATCGTGTTGGCAAAAAAAATCCCAAAATACAGGCACCAAGGGCGTATACAGAAATAAATCTAGGGGGGGGGGGCAAAATTTGAACGGCATATTCAAAACATTTGGCTTCTTGGATATCAGGCATAAGTTTAAGATGCTTTAAAGGTACACACACAGCTCAACTACCTTGCATGTACTATACTTTATCTCTCCTTCAAACAAAACTAGCAGAAAAAAGTATTTTTTCTAAAGAACGACATTTTATTGTACTATTATGTTAGTAATAATAAGTATTTAAACTAGAGATAGAAAAAGACATTTTTGAAAATGAAAAACTCTACTAAAACTTAAATTCTATGAGATGAAAAAAAGGACAGAGGTATAGAAAATAATTATGACTTGTAAAGTTTCCGTTTTGAAAAAAAGTAGGAATACAATTGTAATCTATAAATAAAGCTCTTCGTTCATTTATATGTTTGCTATGGCTGGCCAAACGGCTGAATCAATTGGGCTGAATGGGAAGAAACTCATGGATACCCTTTTTGTAATAATAAGAAAATTTTCAAAACGGCAGCGCAATGAATAAAAGTAAATTAACTCCAAATAAAAAACATAAAAATGGTCTTTTACTACCTCCAAACTCAAGCCTTCCTGGCTTGTCATTAAAGAGTTTTACTTTGCTATCCCTGATAGCGCCCATCCGATTAGGATGAATGTGCATTCTAAATAGATTTTTAAATCTGTGTACTGTCTGGTCCACGTATACAATCTTCTTAGTGCACTGAATGTACAGCAAACTATTTTTTTATGTTCTTCACTCTAGAGTTTGAGATTTGAAAAGTGTAAGCTCTGAGTTCTAGGGTCTAGGGTGGGGCACTGCCCATCTTGCCCCCCCCCATCCCTGTTTACGCCCTTGACAGGTACAGAATAGAGATTAGAATAGAAAGGAATGTAAACAATCCTTCGGTTTAAATTTTGTCAGTCCCTATGATCGATTCTCTTTGGATACCAAATATGACAATAATACACTCCTTTGCTCTACTTTTAGAATTTGAAAAAATTGCAAATTTGCAAAAAATTGAAATTTAAACAAAAAAGGCCAAAAAATGATAAAATATACATTTTAGAAAATCTCTTGACAATGCCATCCCTATTCCTGCTGGGGGGGGGGGTCAAATTGACCCCCCCTGTAGTTTTTTTTACATAACTCAAAAAGTATTGGTCTGAGTCTGTTGAAATTTTCGGACTTTTCCTACATACATAAAGCCCTCCCTTTAAGCCTAAAACCGGGCTTTAATACTAACTGCCTGAGTCCTCAGGAACACTGCCTGAATGACTGCTTTTTCTTGTAACAAACTAAATCTTTGTTTTGACCCACTTGCACTTGTCATATTTTGATAAAATTTAGCTTTTTGGAAAGCCTTTGACATAAGGAAACTAATTGCACAAGTTTTGCGAAAAAAAATTGCAATTTTTTTGCAAACAACCTGTCAAAGGAAATTTGCACATTTTTAGTTTTTCTTGATTAAAAATCAGGTTATTTAAAATTTTGCAAAATTTTTTGCATATTTAAAATGGCATGGTCAGGGTCTTTTTAAAAATGTATAATTTTTATTTTTTGGACAACTTTTTTTTGCAAACATTTTTACTATATAACTGGATATTGCGATAAAAAATTCAATTTTTGCAAATTTGCAATTTTTTACAGATTCTAAAAGTAGAGCACAAGAGCTTTCCAATAACGTATCATTTGTCATATTTGGACATCAAACATGGGATTTAGAGGGGGGGGGGGCAAATTGACCCTCCCCCCAGCATATCCTGGTTTTCAAGTACCTCAGCAGAGATAGGGTTAAAATTTGGAAAAAATTTAGCAAAATTATAAATAACCTGATTTGTAATTAAGAAAAAATAAAAATGTGCACATTTCTTTCGACGAGTTGTATGCAAATAATTTGCAAAAATTTCTTTGCAAAACTTGTGCAATTTGCTTTCTTATGTCATGGGCTTTCAAAAAAAACTAAAAATTATCAAAATCTGACAACTGAAAGTGGGTCAAAACAAAAATTTAATTTGTTACAAGAAAAAGTAGTCATTCAGGCAGTGTGCCGGAGGACAGTTATAGACGTAAAGGGAGGACTAAAAATATTTTGAAAAAGTCAGAAAACTTCAACAGTCTCAGACCAATTCTTTGTGAGATATGTAAAAAAAACTACAAAATATCAATTAAGAAATCTAAGCAAATTCTATGCATTTCGTTGGTCAGTTAAAGATTGTAACAAATGTCGTCTTCTCTCAAATAATCCAAATTAGTTTTACACCGTTGACGTTTCATAATATCGTCTTGTGGAATGGATTGAAGAGTTATTTTCAAGCAAAAATTTAGAAACTACTTCTGTTTTCCTATCTTGAAATTTATAATTTTCAATTTCTCCAAAAAAGTGGCCTGTACAGTGCATACACAATAATCAGATTAATTCATAATGCAGCATCTTTATATACATACTAGCTAGGGAACCCAGCGCTGCCAAGGATACTGAAAGTTATTCCCGCCGTTTACCCGCATTTACCGGGATAATAAATTGTTGCTGTTAATGTCGACATAATCAATTTAAAATCTCAAAACCAATCTAAAAACATTCTCCCGTGGGTCTTCCGAGTTTCCCAGTCAAAATGTGAGGCAATTCGGTCCAGGAGTTCCTGAGTTAAGATCAGACAAACAAACAAACAGACACCCTAACAGAGATTATAACTTTATTTATAAAGATAGAAGTCTTTGTATTTTACCATAGAGCTTTTTATTTGATTAGGGTACACTTGAACAGTTTATCCTGCCCAGTATAGATATTGATGATGTATCCTATGAGAGCTTTGTATTTTACCATATAGTTTACTTGATTAGGGTACACTTGGAAAGTTTATCCTGCCCAGTATACATATTGATGATGTATCCTATGGGATGCTTTGTATTTTACCATATAGTTTACTTGATTAGGGTACACTTGGAGAGTTTATCCTGCCCAGTATAAATATTGATGATGAATCCTATGAGACCTGTGGATATTGTGATGAAAGAAGTGACAGGGCTGGCTCACGAACCACTGCAAACTCTTTGAGGTATAAACTAGAAAAAAATATTTGTAAAATTTTTTTTCCTAAATTTAAAAATTGAATTTTAAGGGAATTTATGACTAGAAACTTCATCAAAATCGCCGTCGACAGTGGTAAGTTTTAAACATTTAAAGGGTGTATTCGTAAAAAATCAAAACCTAACCTACATTAACTTGTACAAGGCTGGGCACATTCCGACTTTTTAGAAATTTTTCTGTTCTGTTCTGTTTCGGGGGCCTTTAGCTAGATCGTTCTGGTCTCGTTCCTTTTTTTCCAATCGTTCCGTTCTTGTTCCATTCTGTTCTGTTTTTGGTGTTCTTAGTCAAAGAACGGTTCCATCCCTGTTCTGTTCTTAGCCAAGAACGTTTCTATCCCCTGTTGCTTGAAAAGGGGGATGTGCAATGTGTAGATTTTAAGAAAAATAATTAATTTTCACAATCAATATTTCAATAATATTAAAAAGATATACAAATAAATTTAGATACCAATTTCTTTCAACCTAATTCTCTCCTCTCCCTAACGGGAGAGGGAGAGGAGGTTAGGTGATCGAATTAAAAATCTTTTATTTATTTATTTCTAGATGATTTAGATCACATTCCTGATTTAAAATGCGTTCCCGACTTTGAACGCATTCTTGGAAAATCGTTTCGCGAAAATTTCGCATTTCATTCCCCCGGGAAAAATGTGAAAGTTTTTGCTTTTTTCGCAAAATTTTGCTTCAATCTGTTTCGCGAAAAAATGCGAAATTTTCGTGAAAAAAGAAATGAGAAAATTTCGCGAAAAAAAATTTGATGCAATAATTTCGCAAATACGGAATTTTCATTTAAGAAATGCAAAAATTTTGCAAAATTTCAGCAAAAAGACTAAATTTAGAAAATACAAGACGAATATTCCGAAAAAAATGTTTTTCGAAATACAGAGCAACTTAATGTAAATATTTAAGAATAACTATGAGACAATTCATATATGTGCTTGTAAGTTATTAATACTATCAACTATTTGATTGACTAGCTCATTGCTAGTTGGATTTCGATGATCATACGTGGACGGACAGAAACCCAGAAAGGTGGAGAAATCAAATTCTCTTCTTCAAACATTAATTAAGTTAAGGAAGAGAAATTATTAATAATGATCTTTTTTAAAACAGTTTTTGGAATTTGAACGAAAATTTTTTGAATTTTTTCGCGCAACGTTTCGTTGGCTGGAAACCCTAGTTTTTGGAAATATGAATGGGTTCCTGATTTTAACGTTCTTTTCAAGCAATTTCCGTTCGTTCTACATTCATTTTTTTACTAACAATTCCAATATTTTAAAAACGCGTTCTATGCGTTCGTTCTTTTTTTCTAGCGATGGAGTTTTTTTGATAGTTCCGTTCGTTCTCGTAAACTTATGATCGTTCCCCAAGAACAACGCCCAGTCCTAGCTACAAATTTAAATGTTTTCAATTTGCGTTATTTCAGAATTTAGAAACGTAAAGAAGTTTCGTCTTCAAACCATATATTATAAAGAAAACAAACCAATTACTTTTAAAATTTTGCAATTCAATTTAAAATATATGTATTGTCAAAAAATAAAGGGACAGTTCACTTATTTGAGTAATTTGAATGGTAAACTAAATATTCATTGTCTTTGTCTTACCTTCCAAAGACAACTGTGGCCCGATAAAAAGTTGATTTATCATCTAAATTCCAGCGCAAAGTAATGATACCTCTTCAAAGACACTATTTGTCCTAGTCATGGATTTTTAAAAATGTTCAAATATTTAATCAAATCGTCTAAAAGTTATTTGTAGAAATCTTTTTTTTTAATTATTATAAAATTGACTTTTTTCAAAATATATCTTATTTGAAAATTTGATGGTTTGATACATTTTCTCTACTTCCCCAGAAATCCCCGTGATTTCTTGAAGAGTTGGAATCTATATAACTGTGTTGTCTGAGAGAGAAAGTCGCTTTTATATCTACGTGTTAATTTGTTAAATCGTGTTTAAACACAAAAAACGTTAGTTTCTTGAAAATTTTTAAATAATTTTTTTTATATTTTACTATATAATGGCTGACACATGATGTCATTGAAATATGATAATTTTGAATTTCATTGGGCTGTTGTTGCTAAAGAAAACGTTTAAAAAGTGTCTTTGTAAAGGTATTACCTTTCCGCTGGAATTCTAAACGATAAATCGGCTTTTTTCTCAAGTCATAGATATCTTAGAAAAGTAAGACTAACACCATGTTAATAGCTAATAGGCAAATTAGTTTACCCTTTAAAGATATGTTTACTGAATACTCTGAGTTTTAGATTGTAAACTGCAACAAAGGGATTTTCTTTATCACTTTTTGGCGAACACTCTTTTCAAAAATGAAGAAAATATTTATTGTTTAACATTTGCAGGAGATGTTGCAGTCTCTGAGAATCTTCCAAATGAAAAAATAGATACTGGACACAGCTGTAGAACTACAGCTCAAGCACAAAATGTTATTGCAAGGTTAAAAATATCAAACTATACTTCAATCATTTATAATTAGGACACCCTGCACTGTGCTGGCCAAACGATTGGGTTACCAGGGGAAGGCATAGAATAAATAATTTAGGCTTTATTTATTCCACGGGAAACGCAGGGCATTTTATATCCTAGCATTTGAAAATATCTTCCCGTGTAATAAGAAAGAAATTTATTTAATTCCTAAAATTAGATCTTCACGATTAACTTTGGGATAGAAAGCCGACATTTATATAATCCTACTTGTGCAGTGCTATATAAAGCGGAGTGTTTCACCAGTAACTAGAAAATAAACCTTTTGAGTGAAAAGGGCCTGATTAAACTCTACAGTTTAAATGTTTTATATAGATTGAACTGTTAACACATACTTTAGATTCTAACAGTCGTCATTCTATTCCACAGTTGTATGGGTTCAAACTTCATCCGTAATTTTAGATAAAATTTTGATTTATCTTTCTAAATGTCAGAGCACGAATGATACCAGGAACAGTAGATCTGGGTCCTACAGGGGTTCTATATATTGATGAAATACAGAATTCTATTGCAATTGCAGAAGTAGAACATATGCTTAGTGTGGACTTAGACGTCAGGTGAGGAAATAACATAAATTCTGTTTAACTATAAAAGAACAAGAATAAATAAGCAATTAATACCTAAGCAAAAACTAATATTTAAGCTTTGAATAACTTTATGTTGTTCGTTGCAGAGTGTTTGACACCAACTCTGATTTTCTAATCTCTATATCTTTGCAAAACCAATGTCGTATTCTAAACTAAGCAGTCTGCATGATTGAATAATCTAAGTTTAACCCTATTCCTGCTGGGATTGGAATGTATTTCTGGACAAATGCACCTAACATTCAACATGGATGTGAAAGTGTACAATGAGGTTCAAGATTCAACATATTCTCCTGTCCAAGTAGATAAACAAAATAATTGCGATTTGAACATTTTGGGAATTAAGATCGGTTCTATTAATGGAATGATTCAACGCTACGCCAACAGGTAACAAAAAAAATTGGATATTGGGAAGCCTGAAGGAAGTTTTGACGAAATTTTTAGTGACCCTTTTATTAAGAAATCACAAAGTACCAACAAGATAAAAAAAACGATTATATCTTCCACTTTGTTAACAGTTCATATTCATATTCTTATTCAACTATAAAGCACGAGATAATACAAAAAAGGGAGTGTTCGCGGAAAATGACAGGGGGTAAATGTTTACGGCCAAAATTAAGCGCTTTTTATCGCTACTTATCTTACTTCTGTCTGATGGGTCTATAAGGGTAAAATGGTTAAAAACGACTCACACCGAAGAACGTATTTCGCTAGCGCTGGATTTTCGAACATTCCTAGAAAAAATGAAAATGTCGTTTTCATTATCAAAAATCCTCGGAACAGGAATAAATTTTTCAAAAGTAACTCTCAGATCATGAAAATTAAAAAAATATTATGAAATATCAACTATATACGAATGCGTCGAAAAAAAATCGATGATTATTGTTTGTAATAACTGAATAATTTGTTTGGAATTAAATTGATTTGTTTACGATCCAAGTTGCATGTTGCGTCTTTCTGAATTTGTATGAAAGCTACGTTCTTCGGTATATAAGTCGTTTTTAACAATTTTCTCCACATTAAAACAACAGATAGAAGGGTATTAGAATTGAAATCTAAAAATGGAGGCCGGTCACTTGAAATAATATCTACAGTCCTCTTTGACACATATTGTTTTAACCCTGATAACTGTAGTTACTATGTACTTTGATATATATTGTTTTAACCCTGATAACTGTAGTCACTACGTACTTTGACATACATTGTTTTAACCCTGATAACTGTAGTTACTACGTACTTTGACATATATTGTTTTAACTCTGATAACTGTAGTTACTACGTACTTTGACATATATTGTTTTAACTCTGATAACTGTAGTTACTACGTACTTTGACATATATTGTTTTAACTCTGATAACTGTAGTTACTATGTACTTTGACATATATTGTTTTAACCCTGATAACTGTAGTTACTATGTACTTTGACATATATTGTTTTAACCCTGATAACTGTAATTACTATGTACTTTGACATTTATTGTTTTAACCCTGATAACTGTAATTACTACGTACTTTGACATATATTGTTTTAACCCTGATAACTGTAGACACAGTTACTGCGTACTTTGACATATATTGTTTTAACCCTGATACTGTAGTTACGACGTACTTTTAGATATGTGCAAGCTAAGGAAAAATTTTATGAACTGCGAGGAGCTAAACTAGTTGCTGAACTAGAGAATAAGCTAGGAGTTCAACTAGGTTCCACAGTATCGGTTAAGCTTAACAATCCAGATGGAACTCCTAGACTCTGTCCTGCTGGGTAAGTAGATTCCAAATAAATATATGGAATTTTTTAAGCTCGTCTATATGATAAAGCTCTTCGCTTATATATTTGTTTATATAATTAAGCGTATTTATATATATTAACTATAGTCGGCCAAACGACTGGACCGAATTGGTTTACATTAATTTTGGGAAATCAATGGCACACTCCTGTATGCCGAGTCCATTCGCGCCTAATCCAATCAGGTTTCAGTCATGTGTTTGATGTTTATTCTGAACCAATAGAAATAGTTTGGCGGTAACATCTATCTTTCTTTCTATCTCATTATCCGATTAGAGTTATGAAAATTTAATTGGCGCTATCAGTAAATGGAAATATTTACTTATACTGAAACTATGGTGGGCAAGGGTACCCGAGTGGTAAAAATGGCTAAAATTCAATTTTTTTTTTAAAATTGATTTTTATCCATTTTTTTTATTTCCACAGGCAATGCCGGACACTCGAGCTAGAACAGTTAAACCCTAAATGAGCCATACATCGAAAGAATATATCAAATGTCGTCTTGACAATTTTTCAATGGGTTTTATACTATTTCACGTAAATCTCACTATTTATGAAAATAAATAAATAACAATGAATATGCGGGAACAGTTTTAAAGAGCTCCATATAATCCTTTAATTAAAAATCTAAATATCTCCAGCATTCCATTATCAGAAAGTGAAAAATACGACATTTGATAAATTCTTTCGATGTGTGGCTTATTTAGGGGTTAACTGTAGCATATCTTTACTTTTATAGAAATATATTTTTATTTATATTTAGTATATACAGGGTATCCCACGAAACATAATATTTGGTGAATAGTTTTGAATGTCTTCTTCCATATATTGTATTGGATATTAAAGACTTTTGCAGTTTGTTTTGAAAAAAAAAACATATTTTCCTCAAACTTATTTTATTTTGAAATCAATTTTACTATAAAATGATTGTCATGTGATATTTTTTATCGTTTTCTTTAGAATAAAACAGCTTAACTAGTTATGGAAGAAGACATTTTAAACTATTTACCAACTTTCATGTTTCGTAAGATCTGAACGAGATTTTAATATTATAAACACTATTAGAAATCCACCATTTTAAACAGAATACTTCACGAAATTTTACATTTTTATATGTAAGATCAATTAGATTATCAAGTACAAAAAGTGGCAACAGAGAAATGGTCTAATTATACATGACGTCACAAGTGTCAAATGTAAAAAGTAAAACAGAATTTTCTCTTATTAGTTGACATGTTTTTCAAGATTAAATTAAAAAGTGAAAAAAAATAGAAAATAATGAATTCAAAATGGCACTTATTTCACTGTAAGTTAAGCACAATTTATTATCACTTTATAAATCTATTTTCTTGTTCTTGATACAAATCTAGATAATTTAATAAGTTTTTGGAAAGCCCTTGAGCAATACCTCAATAATCTGCCAAAAAATGCTAAATTTGCAAAAATCCAAATATTTATTGCGAAATTTAGATATTAAGCAAAAAATGTGCAAACAAAAAAAGTTGCGCAAATTGCAACAAATAATACAAATTTGAAAATCCCTTGACCCAGCAAATTCAAAAAATGTATATTCAAGAAAAACCGAAAATGTGAAAATTCTAGAGATGTCAACGTTTTGATTTTTCTAGATTTTAGCTTTCGTTACGATAGTGTTCATCAAAAGTATTAACGTTTGAAACGTTACGTTGCACATTATGAAATTTTATGGCATAGAGTGACGTTACGTAATGAATTTTCTGCACATGAATACCTTATATAACGTTAAGCTTTAGTAAATGTTAGTGAAAAATAGTAAGCTCCGTTACGCTTTTGCATTTCCCGGTTTAAAAAACTTTCCCAACGTTGCGTTAAAGCTTATGTAATAAAACCACAATTTTTTAACGTTCCACTTTCATGCAAGGTAAATATTTTCAGAGACCTTACGTTACACTTTCACTTGGTTTAAGATCTAAAAGATGACAAACGCTTTGCTTTAATAAAACGTCATTGGGGCATAGTTCTGTACGTTACAATGCATTTCAGTGCAAAGAATATTTTTTGTTAACGTTACGTTTTATCTTAACTTTTCCAATAAAAACTCTTTTAAGTACGTTTAGAAATTTTACTAAAGTGCACCTTTTCTTACGTTACGATTTATCGAAACGTTATTGTGAAAACTTTTTTGTTACACTTTTTTACATGACAATCAAAACTTTTTATTCGTTTCGTTTCTAAGAAAGATTTGAAAAAATGATCTATACGTTGCGTTGTATTAAAATGTTCAAGCCTTAATGTTTCTAACGTTACACTTTATTAAAATAAGATTGTTTCTAAATAAAAGCATTGCAAGATTTTTTCCGTGATAATTACATTTTTTTACTCACCTTGTATGTTGCTGTTGTATTGTTAACCTTTTTAGAGAATGTGTAGAAGAACATGCATTATGCAATATAAAGATGTTATAATATTATTATTTTTAACGATTTTTAAAATTTGTAAATGAAAGTTTTTAGCATTAGACTTTCAACTCAAAGTGTGTCTTTAAGGGACTAGAGACGTAATTTCAAAAGACCTTCCATTTATGGAGTGGCATGTCCAGTAGGGGTGATCAATATTGTAATAGAGCCAACCGCCCACCGGAAGTCGCTGCGTTTTCACCGTAAGGCCACAAAAAGAAATTTTATCTTTTATTTTCATGTTATACATCATTTTCTTGGAAATTCAATGCTAAATTCAAATCTGAAAAAAATGGAAAATTGAGTGAGTCAGAGCTAAAAAACTTATCAAAAACATTAAAAAGTTATAAAACTGGAATTTAGTACCATTATTTGGCCATAACTTCTTACTATTTTAATATATTTAAAAATGGTTTTCGAATCTGAATTCAGCATAAAATTCCCAAGAAAATTATGTATCATATTTATTTTTTGAAATATTTTTTTAGGCCTTTTGGCGATATCTCCAATATTAAATTGTCAATTCGCAACCCTATGGAAAACACTCCTAATTTTCAAATTATCAATCAGATAAAGGTATACACGTTATCATTGGGAATCGAGCATGGCCCTCTTTAAATGGAGGATCACATGAAATTATCATCGTGTATTTGGGAGCTTAAAAAATAAACATGTTTTAGGACACTTCATAAAATGAGTTAAAATTCGGCAAGGCAAACCACTTTTGCATTTAGAGCAGTAGTTCTAAATTATTTTAGATTAGTAATTTTTTCTTTTTTTACGCAATGCAGACTGACCCTTTTCTTTTATCAAACAGAATTCATAATTTAAAATATCTCAGGTCTACAACATTGGGTAGCAAAGATATCGGGATTAGAAATATAAGTTTGTGAACAACTCAATTCCTTTAAACATTCTTATCTAACAGAAGTCATAGCTTGAAATATCAAAAGTCTACAACACCAGCTTGCAAAGATGTAGAGATTAAAAAATTATAATTTGTGGTAAATTTTTAGTTCTTTTTGTGTTTTTTTTATGTTACTTACTAAGTGAGTAAAAAAGCGGCATTAGCTTTAGTTTACAAACCACAATGAAAATGTTTTCGGAGTTCATGTTTGGGGTTAAAAATATCAAATATAGGAAGACAAGTGCTAAATTTCTTTTTTTAACACAAACAACGCGAAATAAAATTATTTAACATTTTTTTCTTTTTAAAAAAATCGATTAAAAATCAGTTTTTTTTCTATTTTAAAGTTTCATAAAAATCTATTGATGAATAAAACATAACACGCATTTTCCAATTGATAAAATATTGTTGCATTTTGTAAGTATCTACATTTCTAAGTTTTTCAACCTAAAACATGAACCATGCCAACTGAAGTTATGATTTCAAGTAGTCAAATAAATATGAAACCCAGCAATTGTGTTTGTTCACAGACCCGTTCCACTTAAGTTGATTTTTTTACAATTAGTAAATTATTTGCTTTATAACAGAAAATGCATATGTAAAATTTCTTAATCTCGTCTTCCTTTTCCAGAGTTTTAGTGGGTTTCATCAAACAAGATGTCCAAGAAACATTTATAAGATTTGTATTTTCACTAATAGCATGTTACAAAAAAACTCGTTTACACTTTAGAAAGGAACTAAGTTTTTTTTTCAAATTTACTTATCCCTATATCTTTCCAATCCGATGGTTTAAACCTTGTATATTTCAATATTAATGGTCTACGACATCGGGTTGCAAAGATATATTAAATGAAAATTAGAGTTTTTGGCATAAGCTCATTTTCTTTAAACTTGAAATGAAAAACCACAAGTCTTTGCTCTTATAATCATCAGTCGAATTTCTTACATTGATATATTAGAGACGTTTTGAAATGTTTTGATTGACAGAATTATTGTTACGCTTTTGAAATTAAAACTCAGCCCTTATAGTCTAACGTTTTATGAACAACATTTTCATCAGACATATATCTAACGTTAGACTAATCAATATAGTATTCAGAGAAAAGTTATGAAACGTTACATTATTGAAATTTTACTCTGTAAAAAAAAATTTCGTTTCCTGATTATTAAATAATAACCCATTTCTTCAACGTTGAATTTTTCATTATACTATAAGGGAAAACGTTTCAAAACGTTTTCATAAACAGTAATGTATTTTTCAGTTATACAACGTTACACTTTTTATAAGTTGAACTTTGAAATAGAAATCCTCTCGTTACGATATTCAATCAAATCACAATTCATTTTTCAAACGTTAGACTTTCAAGCTCCCCTTGGAAACAAAACATTTCTTTACGTTATGGTCAAAAAAGTTGTAAATATTAGAAAAATAACGTTACATTTCCAAAAACAGCTAACGTTGGGGGTATGTTCCTCTAACGTTAACGTTAGGTATGAGCTCCTATAACGTTAACGTTTAACGTTCACGTTATATAGAATATATCCAAACGTTACACATTATTGTAACGTAACGTACAAAAACGTATATTTTACGTTACGTTACACTATCGTTGACATCTCTAGCAAATTCCCATTTAAGGCATCCGTGCAGACGTCTTTGCAATCTGTTCACTTTTGTTAAAGGCTTTCCAAAGAGCTATAAAATGTTAAAATCCAATGACTGGAAGTAGGTCTAAATATATATTTAGTCTAGTGTAGGTAAAATAAGGCATTCAGGCAATTAGATGAGGACTCAGGCAGTAGGTATACAAGCCCAGCTTTTAGCCTTAGCTGAGGGGCATGTGTTAGTTAGAAAAACTAGAAAATTTGAGATTCTAATCTCAAATTTATTTTTGAGTTATCGCAAAAAAACGATAGGGGGAGGGGGTCCAATACGGTTAATATGTTAGAAACTGGTAGCCTTTCATCAAACAGTTGAGAAATAAATAAATCATGAGAAAGCGCGAAGCCTGCGTAACAAAGAGTATAGAATAGAAGGGAGATACAACTGACGCGGCCCGCCCTACCATATGATTATACATGCTTTGCAGACGGTACTTCATTTGAATAAGAAATAATTGTCTGATGTACAATTACCGCGTATACAATAACCTATTCTGAATATTTCTTATACAAATGGAGTACCCGTCTGCAAAGCATGTATAATCATATATGGTAGGACGGGCCGCGTCAGTTGTATCTCCCTTCTATTCTATACTCCTTGGTGCTTAACGAACCTCTAGTAGGTTAAAAAGGAATTCATGAGTTTTTTTAATACTCTCAGTTTTGAATCCCTTTTATCTTTGCAACCCAAAGTCGTAGACCTAAATTTTAAACTATGAACTCCTGTAAGATCAAACCAAATGGTCTAAGTTTGACCTGTCAGCTAGGCTCATAAAATCATGTAGCAAAGATATAAAAAGTAAAATTTGACTGTTAAGCCAAATTTCAATTCCTTATTGCTTGATGTTTAACAAATATTTTTCAGGAGAAAGAAAAGAGATGCATCTTGCACGAGAAAGTCTTGCCCGGAAAGTTTCACCAGGTATTTATTAAAGGAATTGAGTAGTTGACATGATACGTTCTCAGATGTGTTTCAAAACATATCTTTGAAACCTTTTGAAAATCCATTTTTTGGCATAATTTGACCAAAACGTAAATTTTTATGTAAAAAGGATATTTTTCTGCACTGAATCAAACAACTGAAGGTTAAGTAAGTAAGTACGTAAGTAATTATTTATTTATGAAATATAACAAAAACAAACAAAATTAAGTGTTTCAGGAGAAAATATTTTAAAACCCCCAAAATTAGAGGTTGTGTGAATATATCACCTCAATTCTAAAAAATATTTTAAAAAATCAAAGGAAAAGGAAAGGAAAAGGAAAGTTACATATTTATTGTTTACATTATAATAAATATGAACTCTGGTGGTGGATTGTTAGTATTTTTCGACGGTGAAATAACAACTTTTAGAAATAAAAATGCTAGATTTATCTGCAATGTTAAAAAAAATTAAAATTGGCTTTATGGAGTGTAAAAAAGATGTAGGATCTACGCAAAACGATCAATTTTAAGCATCTTTCTAATTCTCGCCGATTTTTGGCATCCTTTATTTTTGATTATATCTTTCACTCTTTTTAGTCTTTTCTTTGAAAAATCGTCTTTGCTTTCTTCGACTCTTTTTCAAACAAAGCATGTGTTAGAATTCACTCATTTGCCTTGCTATTACAAATCTTCAATAAAATTCTGCTTAAAATTCGAAATAAAATTGATATTTGAAAGCTTAGAAAAGTGTCGTTTATTTTCATACCATATTATATTCAAAAATGTTAATACAAAAAATATGATTGGTTACTTTACCATTTGCTGCTTAGGTTTAATTAAAAACACCCCTATTTGAAATAAAATATTATAATGTTCAGAATTGGAGAGACTGAGATGTGTCAGAAGTTTATGGGCTTTAACGTTCCTGATTGTAGTGTATTCGGAAGCAATGCAGTTCTGCATCAAAGGGACATCGGCATCAGAGATAAATTGATTTATTGGTGTTGGACTCCTAGAGTCTAAAATTTCACGTTGTTTGACCACGTTAAGAAGCTTTTCAAGATTCATTGATGTATTTTATTCATTGGACTTCATATTATGTGAACTAAATTTGTTGAAATTGTCAAAATTTTCATAAATATACTTTTTAAATTGGTTTCATTATTCAAATTTCTACCCTAAAGCTATATTATCAACACTTTCTTGTTACCTAAGGTTTTCAATGACAACCTGAAACTAATAAAATACTCTATTAAGTGGCCGCCGTTGCCCATGGAATTTAAAAACGTATAATAAAAAAGAAAAAAAATGGATATTAAAAATAAATAAAAAAATTTAATTTTGTTAAGCCCATGTTACCCCAAAAAAATCAGCCCATTCGGACATTTACACGAACGTCTTGTTTTTTTATATACAGGGTGTCCCAATAAACATGGGAATTCAGTGACGAATTCGAAATCGTCTTTTAAAATAATGCTTTGATTTAGTATAGTGATACCTACTGAGAAAGTTGTAATCTGGAAGAGTTTTGTCTGCTATGATCACATTTTGTTTGTTTATGTTTTGACTGAAAACGGTTGTACTTAGTAAAACAAGAAAATTGCAGTATGCAAACAGAGTAAACTTGTCTGTCTTCACTGTTCATCTTGCGGAGACATTGTAGACACATCTTTATAGTCTTTTACCCTTTTCATAAAATAAACTCTAGCAGACATAATAATATTATGGCTTTTGAAATTAGATATTACAATGCTAACTCATAACAAAGATGATATTGAATTCGTCACTGAATTCCCATATTTTTTGGGACATCCTGTAGGTAACGATTTAGGATTTAATGTGATTGAATGATAATGTTGTTTATGAGAATTCAATGGATAATGTATTATCTAAAGTTATAGCGTTAGCCTAAAAGTCGTCTTCCTATTCCAGAGTTTTCTGCTTATCATTGTAGTAGCTAATCTTCATATATCCTTAGGATTTGATTACTTAAATCGAATCCAATTCATCATAAATATGTAAAACCCAATTAAAGGAAATGAGTTTTTGCAGCAAACTCAGATTTTCTAATCTCTATATCCTTGCAAACTATGAATTCGAATAGATTAATTCAGCTAAGTTTAAAATATCACAGGATTCCAATTTGTGACAAAAACTTAATTTCTTTCTAATTTTAACTTTAAAATTTAAAACATAATATCCATTCGTACTTTTTTAGATCATTAATAATACTAATGGTAAATACGGTTTAAGGTGATTTTACCAACAGAAGGAAGGAGACTTTTGTATTTGAGTTTAAACTGTTAACAAGCTTTTATCGACAAGTAAATAAATAGTTAAATGCAGTGGCACCCTTTTAGTTTAAAGGATTTGAGTTTTTGTCACATTTTCTAATCCCTATATATTAGCAATAGCAACCAATGTCGTAGACCTTTAATATTTCAAACTCTGAATTAAGTCAGATCATATATAATCCCAGTTAGAAACCCGAATGTTTACACCATCAGATTTCACAGATATTATTATTAGAAAATTTTAGTTTGTGGCACTGGCAAAGTCTATATGTAATGAATACAGTACCAAATCCCATTGTTATACATTTGAACATTCCTAGATAAATTACGTTGTTCATTGTCTGTAAATCTAAATGCGCTTATCCTTAACTATGCAAAACTTGCAATTCGATTTGACTGGCTTTGTATTGTGATCTGCTTAAATATGATTACATATCTGTGCAAATCTTGTAAATATGTATATTAACTTAACCTGTAACATAGATTTCTAAATACACGTCAGTTGGAGTAGACTCTGATTTTATTACGGTGAAAGAGTAATTCTTCTTGGTTAGCAAACTAGAAGCGTCCTGAATCACTCTTTTAAAATATAGAACTAGATTGAGAACTGACAGTTACGAGCTTGTGTCGGTGTTGACATTGAAGCCTATGAGATCATGCCCGTGTTTGGCATTGATAGTTACAAGCTTGTGTCAGTGTTGACATAAGGGTTTCCAGTCGTAATTACGTTACGCGTAACACTTTCTTTTCATTTAAGTAGGAATATTACGCGAAATTACTTGCTAATTACATAAACGAAAGAAAGTCTAGTTTTGCGTAATTAAGGCGTAATTACGCGAAATTACGTAATACGAAACCATTCCGAAAATTAGTGAAGTACATATTAATTCTCAGAAATGAATATAGCGGGAAAATATGTGTAAGGATATGTGCGATACAACCATGTCCAATCTTATTGGATAATTGAAATACTCTCAATTTGAATTAAAATTTGTTTATAGTTATGGACCAAACCTCTGTAGAGAAAAAAAAGTAGATGTTAGTTCCACATTTTATTGAAAATATATTTAGGTCTAGGTGGTCAGTTCTAATGTTATAATAACCATCAAAATCGATGTTAAAAACCACAAGAAAAGAAATAAGCAAAAAAGATTATTTAAAAAAATTAAATGAGCTGCCAAATGGACAAATTATTCATCTTTTAAAAAATGTTTTGAGACAATTATTAAAGTCAGGCAACTGGATTTACTACTTCATTCGCCTGTAGTTTACAAGATTTATCAAAGTTATTTTTATAATACTAACGGACTCCACAATTCTTGATTATCCTAAAACTTAATAGGTATTAAATAGGTTATTGCTATAATGATTAAAGTACGCTGATTTGGCTCAAGTAACAAAAACACTTTCGGAATTCATTTTATCGAATTTTCCAAATATCTTAACCCTAATGTATAATTTATCAAAAATGGTCAAGGGGGGGGGGAGGAAACCCCTCTATTTCCTTATTGTGATACAAACAGGGGGCGGAAATGTGTGTCTGAATCAAAAGAGTGTGTGTAAAGTTTACCGAACCGAAGGTGTGTACTGTAGATATTTACAGTACATAGGAATCTAGGTATTTGTACAGTCTGGGAGAGTACATTTGTTTATTGTTAATTGTTTACTTATAAATAAGTTTAATATACATGTAATGAATTATGTAATCATGCTAGCAATATCTTATTTATCTATGTTCGTTTATCTATCTTATCATGTTTCATGTTGACCCTGACTGGCCATTACAGTCAGTTTAATTTCACCTGTATATAAAATAAATCAGTTCAATACAATTTGTCGATTAACACGGACGTATACAGAGCCTTGAGTTTTGGCTAAAGATAGAGAGCCTTGAGTTTTGGCTAGAGATAGAGTCAGTGAAAGTCTAATTAGACTTTGAGTATAGTTATCGTTGAAGTATCTTGGATCTAGATTTCTTACAAAAGTGGTGGCAGCGGTGGGATAACCTAGAACCCAGATCTAGATGCCCAAGAATCCGAAAGTATTCCGGAAAAAGAGTAAAGTGAAAACCTGGTTTAACAGATTAGCCAGAGAAATTTTAACAGGAGAGGATTTACCTGTGAGAGAATCAAGTGGGGCTACAGGAAATACAGTGGCTACCTTTCAAGGATACCCAAGTCTACCCAGTTACGATTCTGGATCGGAAGTAGAGATGGAGGGACCATCTCACCCAGCGATAGATGGCATGGCGGAGATAAGGCAGCAGTTCCAGCTGCTCCTAGCCCAACTGGCGGAGATCAAGCAGAAAGATAAGGATAAATCATTCACCCAGACATGGCAAGAATCAGCGACACTGGAGACACCGGATCCTATTGGCAGAGTAGTCAAAATGTTAGAATGCCCTAAGGCGGAGGATTCACAAGTGTTTTATGTGTCCTGGCTGAAGGCGGAGAAGGCAGCATGAAGAGAAGATGAACAGACGTTTGGAGATCTAAGCAGGGCCGAAGCTGAATATGAGAAGAGACTGTTGAATTTTAGCTGTAGAGCCCCAACATATGATGGTAACCCTAGTAAGGTGTTCAACTGGTGTGGTGAGTTAGAGAAACATCTATCGAGATTTAAGTGTGAAACAATTCCCAACGATGCCATAAAAAGGATGCTGCTAGACTGTATAATGGGAAAAGCACAGTCCAAGATAGTATTGTTGAAACCTGATGGATTAGCTTTCAACAATTACGAGATTGGTGAATTCTTTCAAGAATTATTAAAGAAGTTCACTCATTAGAAGGATGAAGAGGGCAGAAAGATGGAATACTTGCAGAGGAGGCAGGCAAGAAATGAGGATGCTAGGCAGTATTATACAGACAAGCTCAGGTTATTCATGCAAGCATACCCCCCAGCCCAGAGGACTCTAGTGGAGTTCAAGACTAGTATGTTTTTAGGATTGTACATGAACAGGAGATTAAAGCGGTTTTGGACCATTAACTGGTGAACCTGAGGACTTATAATATGGACCCCAGGGGCCCCAGCACAGGATATGGCAGGCTTACATAGTACTTATGGTTATGATAAGAGTGAGATGCCAGGGTTGGTGGAGGATGTGTCTGATGCCGAAGATTTGGATGCTGAGGGTGGCGTAAATGCACTACATAATGGAGATACGTGTTATTTCTGCAAGAAAACTGGTCATCAGAAAAGAGACTGCAGGAAATTTGAAGAATGGAAGAAGAAAAACCCCACAAGAAACCTGGGGGAAACCCTCGTAGTGATACTTCCCGACCATCAATTTCGTATTATAATTGTGGGAAAGAGGGTCATATTTCACGGGAGTGCCCAGGAGAACGTAGAAATCAAGGAAGGAGAGAGAATGGCGGATATGGAGGCGGACAGATGGCGGATATGGCCAAATCCATGGCAGTGATGCAGGAAGTTCTGAAGAAACTGGTACCAGAGGCGGTTTTTCCCTAGGGAGTTGAGATGATGGACGGACGTCAGCTCCTATGATTGCAGAAAATAATGATTTGAATGTGAATAACAATCATTTAATAAACATTTCGCTCAATCCAAATGTCCTTGTTTCGTGTAAATTGATACCGGAAGTGAAAGTTGATAATGTTAGAACGGAAGTGTTAGATATTATAGACAAAGTTAGGGAAGTATCTAACGATTTTAACCCAGAAGTGAAGGGTAGTTTGAGACCTAACGGTCATAAAAATCTTGAACTAAGAGAATGGGAAAAGAATATTCTCATACATCTGAACAGTGTTAATTTGGTTGAGAGGGAAGACCGTAAAACCTCGTATGTGAAATTTAAGTGAGAGGAATTAAGGGGAAGTACGGTATCAGATTTAGATGAAGAGGAA